GAGTTTCATTCCCACTTTTATCGTTCATTTTGGCTTATGATGGTCGATCTGCACATCCACAAGAGGTTCTTCGGTTAAGCTCAGAGGCTCCTCTTCCCCACTCTTGGTGGGTGAAGGTTCCTATAATTGCTATTTCGGGCTCGCAGAACGGATGGGAGTTTTGACATTTTTAGCGAATTTCAGCGTCACGGAATAATATTCCTTGGTTGCTACTTGGTCGCCAGGAATGTCAATCACCTTGGTGCCATCTGGTCCCAGGCATCTCATTACTTGATGCAAAGTTGAGGGAACACCTTGGACTCTATGAATCCACCCTCTGCCCATCAGAAGGTTGTAAGATGGATGGATTTCAACAACAACAAAGTTCTCTATCAAGACTCTCTCCGCGGTTTGCACAGTTACTTCTACCATTCTGATGGGTTCTACCTGTTTTCCATCGAACCCTAGCAAGGGATTTCCAGTAGGCTTGAGCTTCTCTGGCTTGATCTCGAGCCGATCGAACGTGTCCCTTGGCATAACATTTGCACTGCTTCCAGGATTAATCAGAACTCTTCGTACCAGGCATTCTGCCACTGTCAGGCTGACGACTAATGGATCCTCATGAGGAATTTGAACACGTAACAGATCTGTCCTATCAAACTTTATCTACGTTGATGTGCTTTGCTGGTGCAGAACGTTTACACTGCCTACTTTCCTTTTCATTTGCTCTTGGCGAAGACGCGTTCGAAGTAATTCGCCTGACTCCTCGCTTGATTTAGGCCGACCGTGAATCACATTTATTATCCGAACTGGTTGTGTGTTATGGGAGCTTAGTTTCTGACTCCTTTTTACTTGCTCCATCGGTCGGTTATGTTCTACTGCAGGCCCTTGAATATAACTTGTAGAATCGCCTCTGGCAATCAGCATCTCCACCTGCCTCCTTAAGTTTCTACATTCATTAGTCTGGTGACCAAAATCGCTATGGAAAGCATAATGCTTAGTCTGATCCCTCTGTTCGAGAGGTTGTCGAATTGGCAGAGGTGGACGAAACGTATCTTTGTTTTCCTGGTACAACCTTGCCAGAGTGACCTTCAGCGGAGTGATCAACTCTTCATCTCTAGGCTTTTTCTCTGCCTTCTAGGGGGTCTGACACTGTGGCTGAGCCTGTTTTTGCTTGATCTTTGCTTTAGTTTTCTCTTCTGTTGATATGATAGATGTTTTCCGAGCATTAGCTGCTTCCTCTTCTTCCAGATGTACGAAACCATCAGCTCTTTCATTGAGTTCGTCCATAGCCTTCGGCATGTTCCCTACCAGGCTTGTGTGGAACAGAGTGCCACGAGTCATGGCCAACTTGAACACTTGAACCGCCGTTGAAGGATGACATTCAATCACCATGCTCTTAGTAAGGTTAAACCTGGTAAGAAAAGCTTGGAGGCGCTCGTCTTCATGTTGCTTCATCGTGAATAGGCTCAAAATATCCTTTGCCGGACGCTTATTCCCATAGTACTGGCTTATGAACCGATCACATAAACTTCAGAAACTATCTACTGAGCCCCTCGGAAGGTTCTTGAACCAATTGAGCGTTGGTCCAGCTAAGCTGGTAGGAAAGCACTTGCACATTAAGGAGTCGTTCTTGGTGTTCAGGGCCATTTTCAACTGGATATGATATACATGATCAATTAGATCGGTTGTTCCATCAAACAGAATGAAAACAGGCATGGAAAACTTCATCGGGTTTGGGGCATTCAGGATCTCAATAGTAAATGGTGAATCAACTGTCCTTGCTGCCGAACGGAGGGCCTCATTCTCTCTTTGGAACCTTGCAGTGATTCTTTGGTCTGCAAGTCTGCTTTCCGAACTTCTATAATCGTATGTGGCCATCGAAGGCCGATAAGGTGGATCCAACAACCTTTCGTCAGTCAACCTTTCTGTCATGATGAGATAGGCTTGTGGTGATCAAACTCCGTAGCCTGTCCTCGATTGTGCCTTTCCTGATTTGGATTAAAAGTCGTAGCTTCTTCTCGCCTAGTCTGCTCACGATGCGGATCTAGGTGTATAAATCCTTCTCGATCTTTGACTCGATGAGGATTTGGCGGTAGATCCTCCAACCTGACCTCCTCACTGTGAAGATCCTCGTGGTTATCTCCTTCTCGCTCATTGGGATGTGCCTCATCAAGATGTGCACCTCTTTCTCTCACCGGAGGCGGTCGTGGTACACCCGGACCTTCTCGATGCTGCCTTTCAGTTCTCAACTCTGCGTTTTCCTTTCTCAGAGCCTCAATCATGCTCATCAATTCATCAAGCTTCATCTGCTGACCATTCTCCACTGGATTTGAACTCTTGCCTCCGATCATCATTCCGGATCGAAGCAAAGTCATCAACTGCACCACTTTGATCAAATCTGAGTTTCGCTAATGTGCTCACACTAGATCTAGATTCAAATCAGCTGAATTATGACCTCTCTTGACCTAATCCCTATCTCATCCACCGTGAACCTATCAAGTTAAGCTCTGACAGATCAATTGCAATCACGATCAAATCAACACTGCGTTGATCGATTGAACAGGTACAGATCAAAGCTGCGTAGATCGAACGCAAATCTCTGCAAAATCAAGAAGAATCAGAATTCGGCCAAACAAACAATGATGTCGATGATCTTGATCTAGTTTTCAGAGATCAAGATTCTTCTCCACAAATCATTCCTGATCAAATTACTTTTAATCGAATGAAAATCAATCTTCTTCGGTCCCACAGATGGCGCCAATTGAAGATGCAAGAAATTTCTTCTTCATTCTCTCTCTAGAATTCTTCTTACACTTCAACAGAAAATCCCCTCTTTTCCTATCACAATGGTCTATTTATATGTAATTACAAGTGTTGTTAGAGTGTTGTAACTAACTTCTTATGTTGGGCTCTTAGCTTCGGGTCTCCTTCCTTTTGGGCTTGACTTTGTTCGATAGATCCCGGATGTTAGGCCTAGTCCACAATGTTACAGTATGGACTGAGTCCAACTGTTCGATCTGATGCTTCCTTCGTAGGTCAAATCCGGCCCACTCTATCTTCTACATCCTCATACACACACATATATGTGTGTGTGTGTGGAAAAATCATTTTCCAAAAGCCATCAAAGGATACGAAACCATCCCAATTCATAAACAAATTTCGGCCCAATATGGAATACGTTTCACTCTTCTTAGAATAGCCCATTGCTCTTGTTGGTGCTATTTTCGGCCCACATCCCAATACAAGCTAGCATAGCATTTACACCATTTTCTGGTCTATGATCCTCATCATCGTAATATTTTGTTTCTAGTTTTCTCAATCCATCAATTAGGTCTTCAAAGTTGGTCTCTGAAGTTGTATTAAATTTGGACTGTTTTCCACTAAGTATTTATGGTCGAACCACGTTATAATGAATTCTTCTCCGAAAATACATGAATGTAGTATACTTACTTGCTCAAATAATTTTTGAGTGAAAGAAAACTTAGATCTAAAGCAACCCATTTAATCATAGTTAAAAGTGGGTTACCTCATTTTAGCGTCATGTTTAAGTTGGATTTGGGTTTGGCCAGAGAGGACCTAGGAGTATCACACGCGCCGATAGGACGTACCCAGAGTGCAACGGAAACAAAAATGGTGCAACCGGATGGCGGTTCAGGTTGATTGAACCGGCACCATGCCCCACTCTAACTAGTGCCAAAAAGTCTATAAAAATACTCGTCCATGCAGGCACGGACAATTAGTGGGGACAATTGCCCCCATACTGTGATATATATATATATATATATATATATATATATATATATATAAAAAGCAAAGTCCTCTATCTAAATATTTGTTCTGATGGTTTTCTCGTTATATTACGTTAGATAACATAAAATAAGGAGAAAAGTGGTTTAGGAAATTTTTAAATGAGGGAAATAGTGGTTTTGTTAGATTAAGAAAGTGGAAAGATGAGTCTGTATGTAATAATAGTACGATTAGATTATATCCAACTGTTACCAAGTATACTTGGTGTGGATATATATATATATATATTTTTTCATAGTGAGTAAGAGACCACCACTTATACATATATATATATATATATACACTCCATTTCTTTCAACAAAAAAAAAAAAAATTTCCTTAATGTTTATAGTAATCCATGGCACCATGTCAATATTGCAAATAATTTATCGTATTTGAGAGAGTACAAGCTCAGAGTTTGGTTCGCAGCTTCCGCCATCACCTAACGTTATTTCAGCAGCTATTTTTCTAAGTGTGCGATTGCCATGCGCGTCTTGTTGTTTTGTCGTAGAAGCCTTGTCTATATCTAATAAAGAAATTTGATAATTGAATGAATAAAAGTTAATTCTCAGTACATATATTTATAATAATAAAAAACATAAAAGAAACCTAATAGTAAAAGAAAAATAATACTAAAAATTAAGCTAAAAATAAAGTTTTTCAAAAAAATAAAATAATATCAATGCGTTGTTTTTATCCAAAAAATACTATTGGTTTTGTCAAAAATGGACTTATCGAATTGCTTGTTGAACTATTCAGAATTATGTCATACATCAAGTATCCACCTTTTAATGTATAGCTGTCCCAAAATAATTATCCCAATATAAAATTTATAATATTTTCAATTTAGTTGAATTTATAAAAATACGTAGGCCCAGCATAAATAAATTTAATAATTTATTCAATATCAATAAAATAAAAAATTATTAAAAAAATATTTAAATTGGAACCTAGGAGTATTTAAGTTTATGATTTTCCTTTTGATCATTGTAGAAACAGACAAAAGAGACTAAATAGTGATGCCTTATTGGAAGATATATCTAGCTAGTAATTTTATTTTTTTTATTTTTTTATTTTATCTAAAGCAATGGAGATTACACAATTCAACTAAACTAAGGCCAAATCTACCCATCTTATCTCCATATATATATATATATATATAATAGTAAGATAAGATTCTCTAATGTAACAAAATAGTTTATGAAAACGAGTCACATTATAGACAGAAGAAGTTCTATTTTACAAAATACACCAGCTTTTATTATAAGGAAAACCAGAGACAGCATATACCACATGGGAGTTTCTCTGGTATCTTATTACAAGGTAGAAATATTTCACAAGATACAATACCAAACCAAACATATGGAGGTACGTAGCACACGCACAGTTCACACAGTAGGAAACAAGTTTGTGTTGTCTTTCCCTACTTGAATTGGCCTCTCTAGCTTTAGCAGGGACAACACAGAGCATCCATATATTATTCTCACATAACTAGCATATAGAATATATAATTACAGTGGCTAGCTCAAATGTTGGATGCTCCAGCAAATGGCTGAACATATACTCCGATGGCATCAACAAAGTCTCCGGACCTTCCGTGGAATCCAACGATCTTCCCAGTGGTTTGAGATGAAGAAGAATCGAAAGACTGTCCTTGTCTGTTACCAAATGGTCCATATGTTTTTTTGTTGCTTTTAATTTCAAGGGACCGAACAACAAGAAGATTATATATCGTACTGTAATGCCCACTAATTGAAAGCAGATATTCATCAGGGTAGTCTAGTGTGATCTGCAAGAGTAAGATAATTGATTAATGTTGACATTCATACTACTTAAAAGAAAGAAAGAAATTAATGCATTAATGAGATATATATATATATATATATATATACAGTGGGAATAGACTAACCGTGTGTTTGGTACCGCGTTGAAGGTTACCATGCTTCTCAGACCATTTGGACTTTCCATTGTCATCATATTCAAATTGGATGGACACAATTACTAAGCCATCTGAATATATTATTACCTGCTTCACTCCACTGTGCTTGCCATCATCCCATTCATCTCCGCCAGGCCCACCGAATGGCCCGACACTAACAGGGGATGGTCGGGACAAGTAATATGCACCAATCGCATCCAGATGAGAACCAGATCTTCCATGGAGTCCAATAATTTTGCTTCCAGCATAAGGTGCCGGAAACGTGAAATGGTTCCCAACTTCAGTGCCAAATGGTCCATATGTTTTTTCGTTGCTGTGAATTGTGAGTGATTGAAGAGAAGCAAATGCAGTTTCCGAACTATAGTAGCCCGAGATTGAAACAAGAAATTCATCTGGATAGTCAAATTTAACCTACAAGAGTCCCATTGACAAAATTAAGAATGATATATACCTTTTTATAGCCAAGTAATAATTTTTTTTTTTTTTCGAGTTGTAAGTTATTAAAATTGAATTAGCATAACAAATAAAAAACTCAGAAAGGAGAAAATTTAACAATATTCTCACAAACACCTCACAGTTTATATATATAGCCAATGAAATTCTTAGACCAAATAAATGTATTGGTTCTTTACATGCCTCGCCAACATTTATTCACATGCCAGAAAGTATTATATATATATGTGCGTATGTCTGAATAAAAATTCTTTCGATCTAGTGCACCTGTAAGCTGCAGTGTGTAATGGGAACTACTGAGTGTGTCGCTGAATGCATGTTGCTGAAAAGGTTTTTCTCATGTGTGTGTGTCAAATACTAGCAGATATAATGAAACTATCATCCCCACAGAAGAGGTTAAGAATTCAAGTCTCTAATGGTAGTGGGACAACGAGTAAATGTATGCTAGCTTTAACTTACGAAAAGAAAAGAAAAACAGAAAAATTAGAAAATACAGAAATAATCGTTTGTGTGTGAAATGTGAATATATATATTTATATATATATATCAAATGGAAGACAATGGACAAACCATGTGATTTGCTCCGCCGATAGTTTCTCCATGCTTGTTAGACCATATTGACTGTCCATTCTGATCATACTCAATTTGTATAGAGTTAACCATTACTCCGACATTTATGATAATCTGCTTCACTGTTGTGTGAACACCATCATCCCACTGATCTCCACCGTAGCCTCCGAAAGGCCCAACAATCGTTGGTGGTTGTTGGTATGTATTTGAGAATGACTCAAAATATGATCCAAAGGAATTAAGATACGAACCAGACCTTCCAAGGAATCCGACAATCTTGCCATCACTTATGGTTGGAAACTTGAAATATTTTCCCTTCTGGGTGCCAAACGGTCCATACGTTCTTATATTGCTTTCAATGGTGAGAGATTGAACAGTATCAAGAGCAGAATCTGAACTATGGTAGCCCCAAATTGAGCGAATATATTCAGACGGATAGTCAAGTAAGACCTATAATAGTTGATTGACACACGAGAAAATTTTTAGAAGAGATGTACCAAATGGTAACACAATAGAGAGAATGGAAAAAATTACAATCATATCAACCTTTACAAAGTCTTGGTCACGGTTAATATCACATAAAAGAAGGCACGGTTAATATCACATAAAAGAAGGCGTGTTACTTTGTAGGTAGAGTTCAAAAAATAACCCCACCAATAGGCTCTCGCCTGGATGGTACGTACAAGGGGGAGCTTTTACAAAATCTGAGAGGTTCAAAAATAAATAAAATAATATATTGTACATATTTGCACATATATATAAATAGAGAGAGAGTTTTACTTGATTCCTGTTGAGGCGTCACTTTCCACTAGTTTTGTGAGTTAGTCAAGGCAAAGCCCTTGACAATCCCGTTATAGAAAAAATATATTTTCATATATATACTCAAATTACATACATATGTTCCAAGGAACGGGACTAACCTTGTTTTCACCTCCACCATTACCACCATGCCTCTGGGACCATTCTGACGCTCCGTTCTGGTCATACTCAATTTGGATGGAGTCGATCACTATTCCGGAACGTATTATTAACTGCCTTATGCCGGTTTTCCTTCCATCATCCCATGGATTTCCTCCATGGCCTCCAAATGGACCAAAAGTTACAAGGTTGTACGCCATATATGGAACTCTGGGATATATAGATTGCCTGTCACCATGCCAAAATTTGCAAGAGAAAGATATATTATCGAAGCTATATACATATGTATACATATATAATTTACATTGTATGTAGACATGCCATACGAACATAATTAAGTAGAAAGGCCTATTTGATCAAGATCCTTAATTAAAAGAAACAACTAGCTAGGTACCAATGTAATTGAGAATGTTTACCCAAAAAAAAAAAAAAAAACCCAAAAAAATGTAATTGAGAAAGAATAAATTTAAAAAGTTTGCATAATAAATTCTTCTTTTATATGTGCATTCTCATGCAGTATGTTTAATTTGGATATAGTACTATATATGCGCACGTGGAAGAGCTCACCATCTGCTCTATCTTCAATCTCTTGTATTACTATTGTGTGTGTTATTTGCAGAAACAAAACTCGAATCCTACTCTAATTATCTTCTTCGTTGTTTTTTTATCCGATTCCATTCATGTACTTCCATGATATTTTCCCCTTCAACTATTGTCATGTGCCTCCATGCGTTACGATGGAATAACCTCTTCTTAATTACTACTCCATTATGGTAGAATGAACTAATTAAGCCATAGCGGACAATAATAACATATATATATATATATATATACACACGCACGCGCACACACATATACAGTACATTGCTAATTATGCGATTACATATATATATGCATGCATGGAAGAGATCATTATATCAACAAAAGATGCCACCCTTAATTAATAATATTTAAAACAAACAAGAATGGGTCCAGTGTATTTAAATGAGATGAGCTATTTCTGGGAGGGGGCAAAGAAAAGCTACTACTCAGATGCTAGAAGTGGAAGAAATGAAATGAGGGGAGCAAAGCGAACATTAATTACCTACAAGGAAAGAAGGAAGAGTTGTGTGCAAACCAACGGAAGATAGCATGGGTATATATAGCCATTCAATGGGTCACATCACATGAGAAATTCTACGATACCGGACTATACTATATCTTCGAAATTTTTAAATCCTGATATTATCTATTAAGTGAGTCTTATCTTATTATCATATTCAAGTCTGGGAAGTCTTCGGGATACAGACTTCAGTACCCTTCAGATATTTTAAATTATATATTTTGTGTCGCACATGCAAATGTGATGCAAAAGAGTAATTAATTTAAACCTGTTTGGCATGCGTTTTATTTTTGTCTAAAATAAAAATAATATATTTGTTGTAAGAGTATTTTGAAAAAAAAATCAAAAATATTTTTGTGAATAATGTTTTGCTATAGAAATGTCATAAACAAAAGTATGAATAGTTATAGTTATGAGCCATAAACAGTTGTGAAAATAGAAAAAATAATTTTTTAGTATTTTAATTTTAAGTCACTATTCACAAATTATTTTAACATTATGTAAAATAAAACAAAATCGCACTAAATAATTTTTTGTTGTCAAAGAGACACTGTAATCGCTCAAAAACAAAAATAACATCAGCAAAACGTGCACCAAATGAGGGTTTATATATATATATATATATAATAAATATCCGCATGGTACTGTATATAAAAATAATAATGTGGACATGTGGTGGGGCCGACATATCAATTGAAAACAAAAGTGGAAAATGGTGTAATTGTGTAATGATAGCATGTGTTTTTAAAAACAGAATTGAAAAGCTAAATGGACTGGAAGGAATAATTGAGTAGCATGTGTCAAGCAGATATAATCAATCAAGCCACCGAATAGAAGACTTGTGGAGACGAGGGGATCACAACAAACACATGCCAATTAAAATAAGAACAATGTTTTCTAAGAGAAAAAAATTAGTGGTGCAATAAAATATCAATAAATGTTAAATTTTTTTAAAAAATAATAATAATTATAGGGAATAAAAATTTATTTTTTCCTCTTTTTCTCTCTCGCGTAGTAAAATATAATATTTCTATATTTTGAATTTAAAATCAAATAATATTTTTCGCTTTAATGAATCGGACAATGTGAGTCATGAGTTGAATTGATCAATGTCGATATCTTCATCTCATGACAAGTAATTCACCATTTCACCGCTGATAGCCTTTGAGTTCGTACTCCTCCACATCGATGTCGTCCTTTATGGACAGTGGTAGTGGTGGACTAATATATCGCTCATGTTCATCTTCGGTGGTGTCGTTTTATGGCTCCAGCAATGAATTCAATTCCAGATCCATGATACCGAGTTGGAATTTGGAACAATACCATGGAACTCATACGCCGGTGGCTTTTAGGAAGAGCCGATTGAATAGCTTACAGATACTTCCTGAAGTTTTTATTGCTAGAAATAATCCTTGTTTTTTTTTTTTTTAACTTAAACATATGTTGATATATATTTTATTGGGTCATCTCGTCATAAGAAGGCTTCTTATACGGCCTAAGACAAACATTATTCTTAAAATAATAGTATATATATATATATATATATATATATATATATATATATATATATATATACTATTATTAAAAGTAATTTCAAATCATCACTAAAATTAAATAAATAATAAAATAAGTTATCAATTAAAATTACCGATTATACTTAGAATTTTTCAAGACTAAAACAACTAAAACAAGTTATCAATTAAAATAAAATATGTAATTATTTAACTATACTTATATATTTATGTATAATATTTATACTATTATTAAAAGTAGAAGAGGTTTGAAGAAGTCAAATATTCTAAATAAATTAAATTTCATAAATAAGGTTCATCAATGGACACGTGTCAAAATCCTAAAGGTCCGGCCTTTAAAGAAAATGGTGGTTTAATTCAAATTTGAATTGATTTTCATATAAAAGAAATTAATCCCTTATTTATGAAAAAATCGCATAATTATTGGGAATTTTTTAAATTAAACTACCCACTCTTTGGCCTATAAATACAAGAACAGACAAAGAGAAACAAACAAAATATCAAAGCTCTGTCGGGTGCCACTACGCCCTTCTTCATGAAATGCCTTCACCAGTCCCCGTTTGAAGATCCATTTGAACCTTTTCAACTTTGAAGAACTCAAACAAAGTTCAATCACCGGTTCAAGATCAAGCTTCCGAAGCCTTAGTACTGATTTTTGAAGGAGATTTAATTAGAGGGAGATTCTAAATTGTAATAGAATGGCCAATAGAAAAATATACCCACTTTTTTAAATATTTAATAAAATTATTATTTGTTGCATTTATTTTCCTATCAGAATTTCTGAATACAAAATTTGTGTACAAGGCCTACTTCAATTCTCAATCTTCTTGATCGGTCAAGTTTCCACTGTCAATCCAAGACTACTTCTTGTTCATGAGATAAAGCAGTTGTTTGTAGCCTTAAAAATTATCCCTCAACAACTCTAATTTTTTTTTTTTGTTTTTTTTGGGTAATTAACAACTCTATTTTTGTTGCTAGTCGGACTAGAATTTATCCCTACTTGACTCAATCCTTTGTTTTTTTTTTGGGGTAATTAACAACTCTATTTTGTCGCTACTCAGACTAAAATTTATCCCCGACAACTCTATTTTTGTTGCTACTCAGACTAAAATTTATCCCTAATAACTCTATTTTTGTAGCTACTTGATTCAATCTGTTGGGGTCTTTGCTTTACTCTCTTTGATTTTGCTTTTCTGTACATGGAGGCAGGGACAGAGGGGCAATTTACCACCTGAAATATGTTTTTTTACTAATATACCATACTCATAAAATATTGCTAATACCCTTCAAATCATTACAAAATTTCAATTTTACGCCATGTACCTAAAGTTCTGGGTTCAGGTATGCGCCTTTATTTTTTTGTAGCTACTTGACTCAATCTGTAGTTTTGCTTCTCTTACATGTGGGTATATGCCCCACTTAATCATTTACCTAGCTTCTTATAATACATAGCTTAATGTACACACAAAAAAATAATAATAAATAAATTTATTATTAATTTATGTTAATATTAATGAAAATTAACAAGTCGGTGCATTTAGATTTGGAACTTCTAATGCAATTTCAACTTGAGACAATTTAAGTGGAAAATATGTATAATTTCAAAATTGTGTTCAGAATCTTCAAAAAAGTTTGTAATTGCGCGCAACATTGCAGCCTTTGTTCCTCAAATGAATATAATGTGCTATTTATTCACATGCCCAAGTTCATCGAATCAAACATTGTCTATAATAATAATGTGGACATGTGGTGGGACCGACATATCAAATGAAAACAAAGATTAACCAAAGAGTCTGTAAAATGCGGCGGTGTAATTGTTATAGAAGTGGGCTCTACTCATTAATTGTTTGGACATGTGGTGGGACCGACATATCAAATGAAGACAAACGGTAACCAAAGAGAGTGTAAAATGCGGTGTTATTGGTATAGATGTGGGCTCTACTCTTTAATTGTTTGGACGGATAATTACATTTCCTGCTCCTGAGATTAGGGGTAATTACATAGGATATTTCTTACGTTTAAAAAATTATACCGTTCTTTCTCAAAGTTTACTCTGTCGTAACACTTAGTCCCTTTCAATGACGATCAACACCGGTCAAAAGTAATTTTTGATGATATCAGCAAATTTTTAGCATAAAATATCACATTTGCCCTTACTATAATTGTAAAAACATTCTCACCCTTCCTTTTGAATTGCAAATTATCAAATCCCTCAAAGGCAATCATTTTAATTTTTGTATGTACACATTTTCTCTCTCTAAACAAGCACAACTTTTCTCTCCATATATATGTAGGAAAAAAAAAATCTCTTCATATATAATACATATATATATATATACACACACACATACACATTGATTCGCGATAGGAAAACAAAAATCTCTCCATATATAATACATATATATATATATACTGATTCACGGTAGAAAGAAAAAAAAAAAAAAAAATCTCTCCATATATATATATATATATATATATATATATATATATATATATATATATATATACTGATTCGCGGTCGGGAAAAAAAAAAAAAAACAAAACAAAACAAAAATCTCTCCATATATAATACACACACACATATATAAACACACACACACACTGATTCGCGGTATATTGGTCCCAAATCGATGACTTCACTTTCTTCTCCACGACTCTCCAGTAATCCACCGTAGAGGACATCTCTGGCCTCTTCTCCGCCGCCGATCTTACACACCTGGCATGAAATCCACCACAATTAATCTCCTCTCATTCAAATCAACACCAAAGCCTAACAAATTGACTAGCCTAGGGTTTCGAATTCTCTATAGAATCTCGATCTCGTTCTATCCAGGACTGTTGATTGTGTCCAGGGTTGTGGTCCTCTGGACGGCAGCGATGAGCTTGCTGTCGTCGAGGACGGCTTTGAAAACAGAGCCGTAACTGCCTTGCCGAGAAAACTATGGAGGGAGGAGCCATTGACGGCTGATTGGAGATTGAGTTGGAAGAACTCTCCTTTTGGTGGTGGTGCTACGGCGGGGCGAATTATGGTGGTGGTGCTGCAACAACTAGTTTGGGTAGGTAAAGATTGATATGGAGAGAGAGAGAAGAGAGATAATTGGATGGTAAAGAAAGAGTGTGGGTAATTTTGTAATTTTTTATTTTATTAATTTTTTATTTTATAAAATAAGGATATATTAGTTATTTAACAAGGATTTTACCTAAATCCAACTCCGTTCACATTCGAGGGAGGTTTTGTAATTTTTGAACGTTAAGGGTGCTGTCTGTAATTACCCCTAACCTCAGAGGAGGTAAGTGTAATTATTTCATTGTTTGGATTCAAAATTTTATGTATGCAATGATTGTACATGTGAATGCAATAATAAAATAAAATAAAATAAAAACAAGAATATTTATCAGGAAATTGTAGGCGTGGAAGAAAATCGTTTTTCTAAAGAAGCCCATCATTATCATTGGTGCTAGAGGTCATGAACGTGTAGTGCATGATGCGTAATGAAATGAAAATAAATTCTCGACCCTTGTAA